CAGGTCCTTTCTTCAAATTTAAACTTAGAATATGTACCTTGAACTCAGATGCATCATGAAGGGAATTAGCTAGAAAAAATATAGCTGTAAGATTTATAGGTCATTTTTAATTTCCTTTACTTCTCCAGTTTTCCTGCTTTATTAGATTTTTGTCATAATATTACAACCATTGTCTGGGTTTCATGTTATACATGAAACTTTTGTTTCCCACATGGTGCCCATAGCTACACAACATCGTAGCATAGACAGCAGGAAGCAGAAATAGCCACAGTCATTGTGTGATATTTAGGAGAAACCACTGTCTGAGTGATATTTACTCAAAAGAGTTAGGGCTTTCCTTCCATGGTGCTTTATGTCCTCAGGATAGTGATTCCATTTCTTAAGTGTGAACAGTTGTCTCTAGGAAAGGTTAGCATGTGAAACATGTGCTGTGTGAAGAAGTGGACTTGTAATAGGGTAAGGTTAAACATGTTTGGAAGAAATGTGCTGAAATCACTAATGCCATAAAGTTTCCATATGTAGTCAGTGCACGGATATGGTAGAGAGCAGTGCTGTAAAATCAAAACCAAATGTTTTCAAAGGCAAGAAAAAGCAATTATTGAATGAGTTTTTTAAGATTGCTGTGCATGTGTGCAGATTTTTCAAGAACACAAACAAAAAGTCATTATATAGGTAAATTAAACCATAGTATGAAAACTAAGCAATTTGGGGCCCATGGCCTTCTATTGATAACATGTTTGTAGGTAAAAATGCATAACTTCTGGTTTATTTGAAAGAAAATTGATCCATTTAATATAAAGTATAATGAGTAATTGTGTAAGCCTGGAGCCCTTTTCACTTCATAGGGCTGATATTTTAAAGGTCTAAAATGTAAAGGACTTTTTTTTAAGCCTGAAGCAATGAACAGAAAGTCTCAAATGCGCTATTGACAAAGGATTTTATTGCTTCAAACCAGTTACTTTCATCTTGGTTTGCATTTGGTGGAGAAGGAAATAAAGTATAGAAAATATAAGCATTGGGTGTGTTCTGGAAATACGAACGATTCTGACCACTTGGTGTTTACATTTGAACAACTACAATCAGCATATTGTGATTTCTGTGTTTTCAATACATTCAGAATTATTCTTAAGTTATTCCACCTTATCTAGTATAATTTTTCCTTAATGAGTTTTTAAATGCAGAATTTACAGTCTAGTGAATCATGTTCAAACTCGAAGTCCTTTGGGTCTACATGATTTTGCACAGAGAAATTAAGAGTGTGGCTTAGGAATTTAATTCTAAATGACAATTTTGGAAAGCATCTATTTGTGGCAAGTTGACTTTATTCTTGATGTCTTTTGTCTCTCTTGTGTTTGAATCAAGAGATGATATCATAGTGACTAAGAAGCCAGACTCTTAAACCAGACTACCTGGCTTCCTAGCCTTGTGACTTTTTTTAAAAGATATAATTGATATGTAACATTATATTAGTTTCAGGTGTATAACATAATAATTTGATATTCATATGTATTGTGAAATAATCACAATAAGTCTAGTTAATATTCATCACTACACACAGTTATAATTTTTTTTTCTTTCTTGTAGTGAGAACTTTTAAAATCTGCTCCCTTAGCAGCTTTCAAATATACAGTATAGTATTATTAACTATAGTTACTGTGTTGTACATTACATTCCCAGGACATACTTGTTTCATGACCAGGGCCAGCTTGTGACTTGGAACAAGTTATTCAACCTGACCATGCCTCAGTTTCATCTCATAAAGTTGTGAGAATTCTGTGAGATGATAATCTATGTAAAGCATGAGAGCAACTGGAACTCTTAGTGGGTGCAATCTATTCTTCTTTATTCTCCTAAGGTTGCTTTTAAAAGAAAAATAATGAAAATGCCTGTGCAAGTACACCCTTAAAACATAATTATGTTATATTTTAACTTTCTTATTAAAATTTAATGTGAAAATCTCCATGAAGCCAGATCAATGAAGTTTAGTGATCAGAATATAAAAATCAGCCATCTATTCTTAGAGACGTCTTATAGCTTTTTTCAGAATTGTAGAGCCACAAGCTCTCCTTGAACTGCCAGCATGATTTTGAAGAAAAAACTAAAAATATCTGAGCAAGAAGTCTATTTCAAATGAGCCAGAAATAGCCATCACAGCAGCCCAATGAGCTGACACTATTGAGACTTGAAGAGTAGTTGTCCAGAAGATAGATGTTTCTTTTCTTCTCTAATAAAAATTCAAGAAACCTGAAGTTGGCAGAATACATTTTGAATTTTAGAAGAGTTCAATTTAGTCAACTTCTATTAAGCACTAAGTTGTTAGCTAGATCTGCAAGCATCAAGTTAGGAAGGCCTGGTCCAGGATCTGATGGAAGGGCCCAGAAACAGGTCTTTCAGTGGAAGATAGTGAATGAGGGTATGGGAAGGGTATCGGGAGAAATGACTTGACTGTGGGTTTGGTAACAGGAGTTTCTGAGGTGTAGTAAGAAAACACAACCAGGCCATGGTGATTGGAGAATTGAGGGAAGATAGATACATGGGTGTTTGTTCATGTAATCAATAGACAGTGACCAAGCACCTTTTAAAAGGCACTGTTTTGCAGACAGGATCATCTGTATCATTTTTCTATTTGCACAGCAGAAATAGAGACACAGACACAGAGAACAGCTGTGTGGGTATCAAGGGGGAAGAGGGGGTGGGAGGGATTGGGAGATTGGGATTGACATGTACATAGTACTGATGCTTTCTGTAAACTAGATAACCAATGAGAACATACAGGGAACTCTACTTAATGTACTGTGGTGACCCGAAATGGGAAGGATTCCCAGGGGAGGGGATACAATGTGTGTATCTGTATGGCTGATTCACTTTGCTGGACAGTAGAAACTAACACAGCATTGTAAAAAACTATACTCCAATAAAAATAATTTTCAAAAAAGAAAGTATATAAATGTTTAGCAAAAAGAAGGTGGCACTAATACTGTACTAAATCAACCACTCAATCAAAAGTCTCTGCCCTCATGTAGCTCACCATCTAGTGGATAAGTTCATTACTGTTGTTCCATGTCCAACTTTTTATTTTAACTAAAAGGAAGGTTAATAGGTTTATGAGGAGGTTTCAATTTGGTTTGGTTATTCTTAAGACTTACAGGCTTTCCTGGGTGGCTCAGCAGGAAAGAATCTGTCTGCCAATGCAGGAGACGCAGGTTTGTTCCTTGGGCCAGGAAGATCCCCTGGAGAAGGAAATGGCAACCCACTCTAGTATTCTTGCCTGAAGAATTCCATGGACAGAGGCGGCTGGCAGGCTATAGTCCATGGGGTCACAAAGAGTTGGACATGACTTAGCATCTAAAACAACAACTCTTAAAGCTTTACCTGAACCTGTTTATGGGCTGGGTTCTTTTTCAAGAGGTGATGGAGTGAAAGTAGGGAGAAAGGAGTAACTGGAGGAACAAAAGTTCTGGAAGAGACTGCAAAGAGGATGGAGCCTCTGTTAAAATATATTTCTTTCCACTTAGAAAGTGTAGATTCAAGATCTTTTTCCCAGGCACAGATTTAATAATGAAATATTACTTGTCAGAAATGGACATTATGCTCACTTTCAGATGGTTAGATAGCAACACCGACTCAACAGACATGAATTTGAGCAAACTCCAGGAGCTAGTGAAAGACAGGGAAGCCTGGCATACTGCAGCCCATGGAGTCACAAAGAGTCAGACACGACTTAGCAACTGAGGAACAACAGTTTATAATCTCATTAGATCTTTCATTGGTAAATACCTGTACTAGGTCTGAAGTAGGAAGAATGAACAAATTGCTCTGTTAGGTAGTGAAAAAACTTTACTCTGCTTCTAAGCGGCTTTCTCTGTGATCTCTCTCTGCTCTTGTAGTTACGCAGCCCTGATAGCAGACTGGCCTGTGGTTGTCTTGGGCCTGTGCACGGTGTTCATCGTGGTCTGTGCCTTGGTTGGAGTATTAGTGCCAGAGCTTCCTGATTTCTCTGATCCATTGCTGGTAAGGAAAACTGAGCCAATAGAATCTGCTGGTCTATTTTATTTAGCCTTCAATCATCTCAAAAGAATAAGCACTTTAAGACACTTTGTCTTATGTTATCTAATACCCTCTCTTTTGAAACCTTCTCAAGCCATCACTAAGTACAGTCACTTTCTGAAAGAGGGAAGACTTGTCTGTATTCTCCGGTTCTCAAAGGGGGTCAAGAACTTGCTCACCATCAAAAATCTGGAAATCTGTTTCTTGGTCTCCATGTTAACCTAAAGAGCTGTAAATTGGAGAATCTGCAGACTATAAAAACATTTTCACAAAATCTTTAAAACCAAAATGTCACTTTTTTTTTCCGGAGGAAGTTAAAGGAATTTCAGTGTTACTGAGAGAGAGCAGGGTCTGTTTTTAAGTATTGGTAGATGTCCCTCGGGTGTGGAATAGGGAGGAAAATATGAATGAGGATAATTATAATGATAAACTCTTTGTAAAACATGCATAACATAATTTAATTTGACCATGATGTTTTATAACATAAAAATAAGTATTTACTAAATGCTAGGGATGCATATAGAAGAGAAGCTTCAGATAAGTTTTTTATCCTCCTTTTTCCTGAGATATGTAACATACCAAAGAATCAGGCTGATTTGTCACAGTAAATAGGTGATCATTATTATGTCAAATCATCTTGTTTTAATGCAGTTCACCTCTGGAGTAGCTGTGAGGAACGTATTTATTTTCTGTTGAAAGCTATCCATCACCTTGACATTGCCTTCCCAAGCTGTTATAACTATACTTAGCCTGAAATGAAGTACACTAATGGGAATTTGTAATATTTTGCCTTAGGGTTTTGAACCAAGAGGGACTGCAATAGGCCAGAGACTGGTCACATGGAATAACATGGTGAAAAATACAGGATACAAAGCAACATTAGCAAATTACCCCTTTAAATATGCAGATGAACAAGCCAAAAGGTAACCATTTATTAACTTTTAGACAAAACACTGCTAATGAATTCCACTTATAAACACTGCCTGAGCAGAGCAATTACATCTAAAATGTGTGGCTCAAAATCTTTACCACTGAATGTGTTAAAATTGTCATTGTCTTTTAAGATTGTGTTGTCTGTTAGTGAAGGTTTGGGTTTGGGTTTTTTTTTTTTCCTTTTTCAGAAGTGAGAAAATTAATGGCGGTTGCTTATGCCCATCCATCCAACTTAATACCAAGCACTAAATAGGTCATGACTTTGAGGCAGTACTGTTACCGGTAGGTTTCTCATCCTTGGAATGGTGAGGACTTGACTGAAGATCAAACTGTGTTCCATTTCAGCCATCGGGATGATAGATGGTCAGACGATCATTATGAAAGAGAGAAGAGAGAAGTTGACTGGAACTTCCACAAGGACAGCTTTTTCTGTGACGTTCCAAGTGAGTGGCATCATAGATGACAAACCTCTCAGAGTTTCCTGAGATTGAACGAGATTGATAACCTAGACTGTCGGGTATATGTGACTGGTCACACAGCTTTACTGCTTCTGTCATGCTTCAAGAGATTTTGTTTAATTAACTTGTAATTTTACTTCTCTAGGTTAGTCAACCACTAATCTGAATTTATTTACCTATAATTAAAAAAAATAATGAGCAAAAAAGAAAAAAATAATAAGAGAGGATTGAGTTATAGCCGGTTTTAAGAAAGATATAAATCTAATAAAATTATTGACCTTGCTCAATATTTCAAGTCATTTAAAAAAACTCCTTGCACATATTTTTAGATTGAACCCTGAAATAATCTACTTTCAAAACACCTGTATTAATAGCCTTCTTGTGCCTGCCTTGTCATTAGGCATTAGAGGAAGAAAGACGAACAATTAAAGTCCAGAGGTTCAAAGCTTGCATGCCTCAGTGACCCAGCTCATATATGGATGAGATAAGTGAACTGAGTTAAGAGAGCAGGAAGTGATGGTGATTGAAGAGTATATGGCAGAATATGGCCTTGAAAAAATGAGGGCCCAAATATTGTAAGAAATTCCCAGAGGCCAGGAATCCGGATTTTCAGTATGGCATCACAGATCTCTAAATGTTGGCAGCAAATTCACTAAACAAAATCGGCTGTGGCCTAGAGTCAGCCTGGCTCCTCTGTAGCTGCCAGGAAAGAAGAGTTCAGGGTCTCAAAGAAACATGTTTAACTTTACATGTCACTGATTAGCCCTCATGGTTACAAGTGGGGAATTGTGATAACTTCAATTTTGATTAAGTGAATATTAACATTGAAGCTCCTTTGGTTTCAGCTTTTTTTGTTGTTGAAAATCCTTCTAAGATGTGTTTTTTTCTTATCTTCTTAGATCACTAGGGGACCTACCTGATTGGGTCTTAGGTGTTTCTATATCTATTCAAACTTCAGGGTCTTTGTCTTGAAGACAGGAGTTTACTAAAGAAAACTTTGTGACCATTAATAAATGCTCATGTAATAAAGATTTATTCATAAATTTGTAAATTGATTTTCTTTGCACCATTTGGCATTTTGATCATATAAAATTAACCTACTTTGTTTCAGTTCACTTATGTTAATTTTTTAATGGCTAAGGGAGCAGAAACAGTACTTATTGAGCACCTATTTTTCAGTATCTCATTTAATTCTCAACACTTACTTGAGAAAGTGTTGCTGTCTTTATTTTACAGATGAGGAACTGAGGCTCAGGAAAGCTGTTAGTTGCCTAAGATCACCTAGCTAGTAAATGACAGAACCTGGTTACAACCCAGTTTTCACTTTAAAGACCACGTTCTTTCCAGGATATCACACAGCCTCCCTTGTTCGGAAATATATTTTGTAACAGTATGATTTTCAAAATATTTTTTCTAGAACTCTGAACACTCAGCAAGAATGAGGAGTGAGTCTGTGATCCTGGCCAGCATTCTGTGTTTAGTTGACTTCAGTTAGTGCTTTAACATTGATCATTTGCCATCTTTGCTCTCTAGTTAGCTGCCACAGAGAACACCCTTATAATTCATTCTTGATATGCCCTGGTGCCTCATTCTTTGATTTTATATACCACTGTGGTGATATGTTGTGAAATTAAGAGGGAGGCATTCAATTGATTTTCTGCCAAAAGTTCTTATGGATTGTCCTTCCTAATTACAATCTGATCAGAACTAGATATGTCACATAACTGCTACGATTTTTAAGATACAGTGAGTCGACAAAGGCTTTGAGCTAAAGCAATATGTAAAAAAATATTTTTCTTACATTTTTCTCCTGGAATTTAATGAAAGACAGGATTCCCCACTGCTAATGAATTGCCCATGTGGTTTCCCAGTTTGAATTATTTCTGAATGCTGAGTCTTCTGAAATTAATGAATAATTTATAAACCTTTTTCTTTTTTTTTTCCCCTGTCACCAGGTGACCGATATTCCAGAGTAGTATTTACTTCAGCTGGAGGGGAGACATTGTGGAATTTACCTGCAATTAAATCAATGTGCAATGTAGATAATTCAAGGGTATGTAAAGTAAAACTGAAATCTGTTCGGCACAAATAAGGTTGTATTTCTGAAACTCCTTTTATTGCTGAGCCTGGTGCCTGATCAGATGAAAGCACTTAAGTGGCTTACCTACTGAAGAATAAACACCAGGAGAATGGCTTTGCATTCTTTCGACCCCAGGATCAAAGTGTTTCTGTTTCCCCACCTTTAAAACATACCATCTTCCTTAATAAAGATCTCTTTCTTTCCCACTCATGTTCTTTGTCCTTCATAGTCTTTTGTGTTATTTCACAGCTTATTTCCTTTCAGGATAATAGTTAAGCCTTTTTTTCTTCTTTTGTTGTATTTTCTCTTTCCTAGTTTCATTGTTCACTCCATTTTTCCCCCTGAGGCAATTGTCAGCATCTTAATTATGCAATGAAATGCTCACCTTTCTGGCAATCAATGGATCCTTTTGGCCGGTGACCTCAAAGGAAAATTTAGGGCACAGGCCAGGAAAGAGGACATCAAAGAGCATAAATACAATATCTATGGAAATGGCCTGAGTAATCCAATCCAGATTGTTCTGAATTCTGAACACCTTAATGCTTTAGCAAGACATAAAGATATAAGAAGACAGGCACTTCCACTCCTAATCTTCTGTAGAGCACCAGAAAATATAAAGTCACCTACCAGGCTTGGAAGAGCAGTCCATTTCATGTGTTCAGACGTAGTTTCTCCAAGTAGAAACTGCTGGTCACTGAGGTCACTAATGGCCTCATCCAAGCACAGTAACAAAGCAGAAAAGGAACTTGTATTCTGAGCATAATTCCATTCTCAATTAATGTCTCGACTTGGTCACTATCAACTTCAGCTGGTCTACCTGACTGTGGAGCATTGTCAAGTGAGAAACTCCAGCATGAAACCCAATAAAATGTAAAATCACTTGTCAGTTGAAAATCTAATCACATGCTCTAAGAGTTAGACTAACAATCCAGGGAATTAAATCACCTGTTCTATTAACAGGATTCTTTAATGCATAGGAGGTAGAAAGGACCCTTTGAGGTCACCCACAGACCAGCACTGTCCCTGTGCTGATAAAAGGACCTTCTGAGAACTGAGTGCCTTACCCAGGTCACCTAGTTAGTTGGTCCCAGATCTCCTGACTTCATTCTTCATTCGGAGAGGCCGTTTACATATTTTGAAAATAATTTTTGCATCAATGAGGATATCAGGATTTTCTGTGAGTGCCATCTTGTCTCTCTGCAACTCCAAATAGACCAAAGTCACAAACCATCTGTAAACAGCCTACAGTTTCTTCATCAGTGAGCCATTTTTGTCATATTTTGTTCTGTTCTACAATGATCAGTGGATTTTTGAAAGCTACTATGAGCTTATTTCTCCTTGTTATGGGTTACAGCCGTTCTCATACAGAAAGTTGACTCTAAAGTTAACTTTAGAGAGCACTTGCTGTGTGCAAGGCTTTATGATGGGTATTTTACATCTCTCACAGTAGACCTGTGACCTTGGAATAATACCTTTTAATGGATGAGCAGTTAAGCTTAGAGAAGTTAAGCCAGTCTGGTTACTTTATAATCACACCTTGGATGAAAACAGTTCATTAACCTCTTAGACCCTGTTATTCCTACCCTTGCAGTTAATCTTTAGACCTTCCCTCCCTTGAAGACACTAAAGTGATTGAATTCACTCAATTGATTAACAGCTGATGTTTTTTGAGTGTTATTGATATTTGTCAGGAAGTATTCTAAATACTTTAATGAATTATTTCATTTAATTCTCACAACAGTGTTAGGAATGAAACACTGTTATTTTGCCTGTTTTGCAGATGAGAAAGTTCACACAGGTGGTAAGTGACAGATGCAGGATTTGAACCCAGCCAAGTCTTAATTCCAGGGCTTCCCAGGTGGCTTGGTGGTAAAGAATTCACCTGCCAATACAGGCAATGTGGGTTCGATCCCTGGGTCAGGAATGTCCTCTGGAGGAGAAAATGGCAACCCACTCCAGTATTCTTGCCTGGGAAATCCCATGGACTGAGGAGCCTGGCAAGCTACAGTCTGTGGGGTCTCAAAGAGTCGGATATAACTGAGCAACTAAACAACAACAAAAATCTAATTCTAGAGTCTGTGCCTTTACCTTCCATTCTTTATGCTTCCATAATGCAGATTACTGTTTGCTCTCCCATTTATGTTTTGTGTTGTTTTGCTATATATACCATTTCCCACTCAAATGAACCTCAAAGAATCATCATGGCCTAGAATAGAATAAGTACCTTTTAAAAAGCTAGCAATTTGTTCTATGAGTACATCTTAGATTTTTAATGAACTCAAAAACTCTAAAACCAGTAAGCAGTACTGTGCCATTATAGCTTTTATAAGTGAAGAGTATATTATATATACATACATATGTATATTTCAGATGATAAAATATCAGCACCAATAGGAACCTTACAAAAAGGCATACAGAAAGGATAAATAATTGAATGAATTACTTGAAGGGACAATAGTGGGTGGAAAATAAAGCTAAGGATGAGATTGGACATACAATAATGCATACCCCACAATTCTGTGTATTTGCATGGTGGTGAGCTTCAAATTTGTCTTTTAACTTCCCTGGCAACCAGCGCAGAGGAATTCACGGTCAGAGACAAAAGTCACTGAAATAGAGCTACAGATTTGTTTTTTAGAAGAAACCCATCTTGCCTTCATACTAAGACAGGAAAAGATTGTTCCCATACTTCCAAAAGAAGTATGATGTTCTGAAGAAAGTTCTTAACGGCAGGTTTAGCAGATTTACGAGAGGTACAGTGCTGATTCTTACTTGGTTTGTAAACCATATCTCAAGTAGGTTGGTACTTGAGATATACCAGAAGCTTTTCTACAAGGGATAAAGCAGTGAAATCTCAATACATGGTTTCTAATGGTTTGGCTTGAAGTGTCTGCAAAATTTAAACTACTGAAAAAAGTAGATGTACTTTGCTTGTCCTTTTTTCTCTACTGAGCTCATAATAAGAATGGTTAGCTGTGAGTTCAAGCCTATGCTCACTTCCTTGAAAGAACGTAACAATCTGTAGTACTTTTGTGAAAATGTGAGGAACAGACCCAAAGACACATCTGAATGAATGGTCAAGCCACTTACAGATGCATACCAGTAAATGAATAAACATAACCAAGGCCCTGAAATTCTACCTCAAGGAGTATGGTTGTAATTTGAGCTTTTTAAATTAAATGCTATTTTTGCCAATTGCAAATACCCTTGTATTCTAGCCTCAAACTCTTGTTGTGAACCTAGAACAACGTGTTTCTCACAGAGATAATATATTTAGTGATGTCTTGTGCCCACTCAGTTGTGTCTGACTCTGTTTGACCCCATGAACTATAGCCCTTCAGGTTCCTCTGTCCATGGGATTTCCCAGGGAAGAATACTGGAGTGGGCTGCCATTTCCTCCTCCAGGGGATCTTCCCGACTCAGGGATCAAACCCACGCCTCCTGTGTTTCCTCCACTAAAGGCAGCTTCTTTACTGCTTGAGCCATCAGGGAATAATATCTAGTGGTTAACGATTCAGATTTCAGACTATTACTGTACCTTTTTGAGTCTCCCAGCTCAAGACCCTTTGGGGATTTTTATTTGTTATGGTGCTTTGAGCAAACGGTGTCCTGAGGCTACTTGACAGCCTTTCCTTTTCCCCCCCTCAAATCCTCACTGTCATACCTAAGCACTTGATTATTAACAACGATCAAGTTGAATGAGACACATATGAAATGATACAGAGCAGAAGAGCTTAATTGTTGGTCAGTTGACTCCAGAAAGCATCTGGTAATCAGTGTAATGTCACCAGGAGACCAGGTGTTTCAGTTGTTGCCTGCCTGTGTTGATAGCACATTGAGTTCAAACACCAGTTCCCATTTAAATTACATGCCACTTGTACTCACAGTTTAGATGGGTGCTGGTTTCTAGAGTGTAGAGCTTCTGTTTCTGATGCTGTGTCTGTCTTGTCACAGAAATGCTTGGTTTCTTAGACTCTCTCAAAAGGGGACTCAGTTGCTTCCTCCGACTGTCTTCATTACTTTTTATTGCGCTTTTGCATTCCTGTAGGGCATGCTGGCAGAGAGTCATTAGTAACAAAGACGTTTGTATGTCTAATCTTGACTGCTGGAAACTCTTTACCCTGTTTTTAATCTTTGTACACTGTAGAAGTTGGTGCTCAGAGGAATCAGCTTATAGTAGGGATTTGAAATTTGGTACCCTTTTTACTTACATAGCTTTTGTGGACAGCTGGAACGCACCCCCCCTCCTCTGAAGCTTAGAAGACTCTAGAAATGTTTCCTGATGCCTGGAGATTTTGTTTGTTTGGTTTTATTTTTTGACCACACCATGCAGCAGGTGATGGGGGATCTGAGTTCCTCAACCAGGGATTGAACACAAGCCCTCTGCAGTGGAAGCTCAGAGTCTTAACCACTGGATTGCCAGGGAAGTTCCCTGATGCTTGTTTTAAAGAAAGCTGTGGAGCCCTTGCTTTTTCTTTCATCTCTAGGCTCCCTTCAACTTTTATACGTGAGGAACTTAGTCACGTGGGGAGTGAGAGTCCAGCAGTTGATTGAACCTGGTATTAAGGGCTGAATTTTCTTGCCTTTATTGTTTTCTCCACGTCTTACCATATCTCCAACTTGGCCATTAGATTTGAAAGTTAAGGTATCATTTAAACTCTGCTGGTTTCTTCTTTTTCGCTATTTGAAGGCAACTCCACCCCTGCTCCCATCTGACCAGGGAAGTGTGCAAAGGCGTGTTATTACCACACAAGCAAAATGATTTCCTAAAACTCCCATCTGTGAATACCTAGAATGAAAAGGGTGTCCCTCATGAGAGTTGCAAGAAATGGCTCTCAGAAACTCCATCCTTATTTTTATAAACTTCAAAGATTTCAAAATCATTCCTCTGATGGCAAAAATATGCAGAGATGCAGCTGCCTTCTGCATGAAGATACACCTGCTTGCCAAGCCCTTTCAGCCCCACAGTGTAACATATCACTCTGTATCGCGCTGTCTTCATCCCAGATGACTAAGCCGTGCTTCTCTCTCATTGCACTTACAGACTTTGGCACTCTGTTCACAGGTTCACATAGACTCATAAACATAATACGTTGCTTCTCATGCGAATTGTCATCGTTGCTTTTCTTGTCTGATTTCCCCACCTTACCATGAGCAACCTGGGGGCAGGACCAATTTGCCTTATTTGTCTTGCATGGGTGCTCAATAAATATTTTTTCTTTTGAATGGATGGATGGATGGATGGATGGATGGATGGATGGATGGATGGGGACATACAGCATCACTCCCTGAAAGCCTAAATGACCCTTGAGCTCCATGCCTTTAGATTTAGGGCACTGGCATCCAACTCAGGATAAATGTCTATTCTCTGTCCTTATTTTTTATCCTCTAAAACAGTCCTCAAAAACTGTTTTCCAAAGGTTGTACATCAGCCAGCATCACCTTTGAATTTGAGGATTGGCCCTCCAGAGGCTCATTAGCATTTATTTTTTATAGCAGCCATCAAAGTAGTATTTGGTCTGTGTTTGTCATGTCCAACTTTTTAATCTCTGGTCAGATACACACATAAAAAACCCTCTGCAATTCTTTGAAAAGGTTAGTCAAGGACAGAATTCTGTGCCTTTTCCCCCAGTTTTAGCTGGCAACCCTGTTTCCTTTATCTTTGGCATTTGGTTATTTGGACAAGTACAGATATGTTCTTTCTAGCTGATAGTGGGTTTTGTAATGGATACGGTTCATTTTCTTCCATCTCAAAACTGTCAGACCATGCATTACCTTTCTTTCAATTCAGTAGGCTGAGCCCAGGGACTTGCCTGTTATTTCTTTATGGGATAAAACTGGTTATCTGAGAGATGCTATTCCAGGATTTCCTGTTATTTATTAGGTGATTCAGTTCCCCCTGCGTGAGCTTATGTGAATGTTTTTATGTAGGAACAATTAAATGTTAATCATCCTGTTTTATGAAATGCCCAGTAATTATCACTCTCTAAAAATGAGCTTGAAAATCAAGCCTTTGTTAAAATCAGCATTATTTTAGTATATTGTATAACAACCTTTGATTCATTTTTTTTAACTCCCAATAGAATATCTTAAAAAACAAAACAAAATAACTTTTTATTATAGAAATTATCAAACAGATGTAAAAGTAGAATAGTAGAACGAATTCCTATGTGCAGGTCACCAAACTTCAGCAGTTCCCAGTATATGGCCAATCTCCTTTCATCTACTCTTTGCCCCTTGCAAGATAAGTCCCAGTAAAGTATGCTGATCACCAGGGCTTAGTGAGTTACAAGTAACTTGGTTCTTGGATAAGTCTGAGTTCTAAAGATGATTTGTGCCAACATCTCTACTTTGACAAAATACTTCAGTGCATGATTGATAAAATGGCAACCCACTCCAGTATTCTTACCAGGAAAATCCCAAGGACAGAGGAGCCTGGTGGCCTACAGTCCAAGGGGTTGCAAAGAGTCGGATATGACTGAGCATACACACACACTTTAATAAAAGGGAAAGGGTTTTAATCTCATTAGAAAAAAAATACCATGAGCCCTTCTTCAACTTTGGAGTTTCTTCCCTGGAACAACATTTGGTAGATAGAGATGAGGAAAGTGATAGGAGTGGGTCGTCTTTAGCCCTGTTGCTTCCAGAGAAGTCTCTGGACAGGCTCGAGAGCAGGGGGATAGTTCTTACTCTCAGCCTCAGGGTAGAGGGGACATTCATGTAATTTATAGATTTTTAAAGCAGTAGGATTGTGCAGTCTTCACTCTAACCTTACCAATGCCACGTTTGGCATTGGAACAGATTTCAGTTTTCTATAAGAAGAACAGCCATAAGAAGAAAAGCCTTCTCCAGGCTTTCAGTTCCAAATGAAATACTGTCCACATTAAATCCAGAATTGTTAGACTTACTAATATGCAGCAGACCTCTGTTTACCAAACAAAAAGTTCCCCAAAGCGGGAGGGGTGGTTAGCCAACTTGAATAAACTTTGAAGGCTGTGGAAGAAATAAATTCCCACTTAAGTATTTTATTACCTGTATATGTTTATTTAAAATCATACATATATCATTTTAATTTAGAAACATTTCCCCTTTCTACTTATATATCAGGAAACCATTTTATTCCAGGTTTTACGTGTATCTTTAGCATCTGCTTCTGATATTACCAGGATCACTTTTTGATTCACTGACAGTTTTCTAGAGAATATCACCTTTGCTTCCACCTAAGATGATTGAAATATAGTACCTCTGTCACCAAATATTTCATGCTGATCACCAGAAATTTTAGGTGAAGCCACAAATTCATTTCATATATCAATTGGGCAATTGTTCTCTTAATTAATCCAGTAGGTGTTCATACATATGCTTCACAGCCTATCCATTTAATTGCTTTTTAAAGTGATTTTGAAAGGGCTTGTTTACCAAAGAGGTGTTAATTTTACCTCCTGTTTGAACCCAAACTGGCATTGATTGAAATTGTTTCACACTTGGATGTCATCCCCAAATACTAGTTTACTGTTCAAAATGAAGTAACCTAGCAGGAAAGCCTGATGTGCTGCAGTCCATGGGGTCACCAAGAGTCAGACTGAGCAAGGGAACAACAAAGTGAGCCTTCTGTAGCCAAGAAAGCAGACTGGGGACGGGGGTGGGGTGGGGTGGGGGAGGGAATCTCACCTTGTAGTCAAACTGACAGCTCCAGAGGATGATTCTGTAACTCCGGTAACTGTCCTGCCCCTCAAGGCCACCGTCCTTCAGACCTTTCCATGAACCGATTTTAAACGGCAGTCCTTCCGCCTGTCTCTGTCTCCGCAGATCCGATCGCATCCGCAGTTTGGCGATCTCTGCCAGAGGACCACGGCTGCCTCCTGCTGCCCCAGCTGGACACTGGGGAACTACATTGCTATTCTGAACAACAGATCATCCTGCCAGAAAATCGTGGAGCGCGATGTTTCTCATACCTTGAAGCTTCTCCGCACGTGCGCCAAACACTACCAGAACGGCACCCTGGAGCCAGACTGCTGGGATATGGCGGCCCGGAGGAAGGACCAGCTCAAGTGCACCAACGTGCCACGGAAATGCACCAAGTACAACGCCGTGTACCAGATCCTTCACTACTTGGTGGACAAGGACTTCATGGCCCCGAAGACAGCCGATTCCACGCCCACTCTGAAATACAGCATGCTCTTTTCGCCCACCGAGAAAGGCGAGAGCATGATGAACATCTACCTGGACAACTTCGAAAACTGGAACGCATCCGACGGCGTCACCACTGTCACCGGCATTGAGTTTGGTATCAAGCACAGCTTGTTTCAGGATTATCTTCTGATGGATACCGTGTATCCCGCCATCGCCATGGTGATCGTCCTTTTAGTCATGTGCATCTACACCAGGTCCATGTTCATCACCCTGATGACGATGTTTGCCATCATCAGTTCTTTGATCGTGTCCTATTTTCTCTACCGCGTGGTGTTTAACTTTGAATTTTTCCCTTTTATGAACCTCACCGCGCTCATTATTCTGGTGGGCATTGGAGCAGACGATGCTTTCGTCCTATGTGACGTCTGGAACTACACCAAATTTGACAAGCCTCACGCGGAAACATCAGAGACAGTGAGCATCACGCTGCAGCATGCTGCCCTGTCCATGTTCGTCACCAGTTTTACCACGGCAGCTGCCTTTTACGCCAACTACGTGAGCAACATCACGGCCATCAGATGCTTCGGGGTGTATGCGGGGACAGCCATCCTCGTCAATTACGTGCTGATGGTCACGTGGCTTCCGGCGGTGGTTGTCCTGCACGAGCGGTATCTGCTTAATATCTTCAGCTGTTTCAAGAAGCCCCAGCAGCAGATTTATGACAACAAAAGCTGCTGGACGGTGGCCTGTCAGAAGTGCCACAAAGTCCTTTTTGCCATTTCAGAAGCATCTCGAATTTTTTTTGAAAAAGTCTTGCCGTGCATCGTTATTAAGTTTCGCTACCTCTGGCTATTCTGGTTCCTGGCCTTAACGGTGGGCGGGGCCTACATCGTCTGCATAAACCCAAAGATGAAGCTGCCCTCCTTGGAGCTCTCCGAGTTTCAGGTGTTCAGGTCGTCTCACCCTTTTGAACGTTACGACGCCGAGTACAAAAAGCTGTTCATGTTCGAGCGCGTCCACCACGGAGAGGAGCTCCATATGCCCATCACGGTCATCTGGGGTGTATCCCCAGAGGACAACGGCAACCCCCTAAACCCTAAGAGCAAAGGGAAGCTGACCTTGGACAGCGCCTTCAACATCGCTAGTCCGGCTTCTCAGGTCTGGATTTTGCACTTCTGTCAAAAACTGAGAAATCAGACCTTCTTTTACCAGACCGACGAACAGGACTTCACCAGCTGCTTCATCGAGACCTTTAAGCAGTGGATGGAAAACCAGGACTGCGATGAGCCTGCCCTATACCCCTGCTGCAGCCACTGGAGCTTCCCCTACAAGCAGGAGATTTTCGAACTGTGCATCAAGAGAGCCATCATGGAGCTGGAGAGGAGCACAGGCTACCACTTAGATAGCAAGACCCCGGGGCCGAGGTTTGACATCAATGACACCATCAGGGCAGTTGTGCTAGAGTTCCAGAGTACCTACCTCTTCACCCTGGCTTATGAAAAAATGCATCAGTTTTATAAAGAGGTGGACTCATGGATTTCCAACGAGCTGAGTTCTGCCCCTGAGGGCCTCAGCCACGGCTGGTTTGTCAGCAATCTGGAGTTCTATGACCTCCAGGACAGCCTCTCCGATGGCACCCTCATTGCCATGGGGCTGTCCGTGGCCGTGGCCTTCAGTGTGATGCTGCTGACCACTTGGAACATAATCATCAGCCTTTACGCCATCATTTCGATTGCCGGAACTATATTTGTCACCGTGGGTTCCCTCGTCCTACTGGGCTGGGAGCTGAACGTTTTGGAGTCCGTCACCATTTCAGTGGCGGTGGGCCTGTCTGTAGACTTTGCTGTCCATTATGGGGTGGCTTATCGCTTGGCCCCAGATGCTGACCGAGAAGGGAAGGTGATCTTCTCTCTGAGTCGCATGGGCTCTGCCATCGCCATGGCCGCGCTGACCACCTTCGTGGCCGGGGCCATGATGATGCCCTCTACGGTTCTGGCTTACACCCAGCTGGGCACCTTCATGATGCTCATCATGTGTATCAGCTGGGCTTTCGCCACCTTCTTTTTCCAGTGCATGTGCCGGTGCCTTGGGCCGCAGGGGACCTGCGGTCAGATCCCTTTACCTAAAAAACTCCAGTGCAGTGCCTTCTCCCACGCCTTGTCTGCAAGTCCCAGTGACAACGGACCAAGCAAGACACACACCCTGAATGCTTATCATTTAGATCCTAGGGGCCAGACATCAGAAATGGAACACGAGTTTTATGAATTGGAACCTCTGGCCGCCCACAGCTGTGCAACGTCTGAGAAGACCACTTACGAAGAGACCCACATCTGCTCTGAATTTTTCAGCAGCCAGGCGAGGCATTTAGGGCTGCCTGTCCACACAGCTTACAACAGTGAACTCAACAAAAGCACCAAAAATGAAACGAGCCCTGCCTTGTTGCAGGCCTCTCTTGAACAGCACACCATGTGTCACTTCTTCTCTCTGAATCAGAGATGCAGCTGCCCAAATGCCTACAAACATTTGAAATACAGCCCACCCTGCTGCCAGCAGATGGGCGACTGTTTGTGCCACCAGTGCGCTCCCACTGCCAGCAGCTTCGTGCATGTCCAGAATGGCCTGGCGCCTCTGAAGGCCGCACACCAAGCCCCCGAGGGCTTCATGCATCCGGTCCCGCGCATCCACCCCTGTTCTGGCCAACAGTGCAGGGCAAAACCGCCTGGAGCCCAGAATGCTCTGCCCAGGAGTTTCTTCCTCCACCCAGTGCAGCACATTCAGGCCCAAGAAAAAATCACTAAGACCAGTGTACACAGTCTTCAGAGCCTCGAAGAGCATCTTCCAAAGACGGTAGAGCCATCATCATTGGTCTGCAGAAGTGCCGGAGCCTTACACAAAGCCTGCTGTGGTCCTGAGACTCACCCAAGGGGACTCTGTAAAAACAGAGACCTCAGGACCACGGAGGGCAGTGGCGGGGCCGCCGCCAAGGACTCCGTTTCAGTGAGTCAGCCCAACAACGCAGAAAGGCAGGTGGAGCTGAGCCCATCACAGACTGATGTCATTGTGAGCTCGGAACATTTAAATCAGAATGAACCCAAATTTCTATTTAACCATTTAATAGGGGAGGCCGGGTATAGGTCCTGCCCAAACAACCCACAGAGCCGTGGCAGAATTGTGAGAGTGAAGCGCAGTTCTGTGGACTGTCCAATACCAAACATCGAAGCCGGCGTGCCTGCTGTGTTAACACCCTCAGAACTTTCTGGCGAGAGTTTGTTAATAAAAACACTTTAATAAATATAGTGTTAAACCAGCGCCTCAGTCGTGCCTTTGAAATAGAAATCCGGAAGTTTAGAAACAAGAGTCCAGAAATACAGGAACAGGCATGTTTCACTTTGTCAAAAATCATGAAGTATTTTTAGATTCCATATGAACAATCAACAAACGCATATATCTAATGAGTGTTAAGAGTGTTAGCCGTTTGGGGTTTTATATTTTCAAAAAGTACAGTTGTTTTTTGACATTTACACTCAACTTGAACAGTTATTGCCTGCTTCTCTACCCTCTCATAGCAGTGAGTCAAAGATTTAGAGTCTGAATTATCTAGAACTTTCGTTTCTCCCTGGCAGTTGTATTTACCTGATAACCCTTATTCTGGTGCCTTTGGTTGTCAGTAGTTAGGGCTTTTGATGACTTAAGAGAAATACTGATTTTTAAGAAAGCTACTTCAGTTGGGATTCAGGAACTAAACAACTTTAAAATTTCTAATTTTGATGAGACCTCATTCAGAAATGAATTGCCGAGCATTTAAATAGTGCCTTCCACCTGTCTGCATGGGTAGACTGTCCATAAAGCCAATGATCCATGTGTATCCAACTGGTGTCTTTCCACATTAGCCAAACTGTACAGTCGTTCCATGGTTATACCAGTTCACTCGGAGTCATGGGCATCATCTTGTGTCTGGTGACAATATTAGGGCCACAGAAGGAAGAACACAGATGTAGAGAGGTGATCACCTGAAATGATAAGTTTCATCTTGACCAAGAGAGCCCCAGGTCAGATGAAACAGTCAGAGTAGAAGAACTTGTTCCAAGCAGTTTTGTTTCAATCTCTGCCCAGACCCCAGGGGATGTGTTCAGAGGGCTGCCTTCTCCCAGGCTAAGGTGTCTTGGGATATGCATGGATGATTTCATTGTGCAACTAACACCCGGAAATGCTGAACCTGCAGGCAGCATCTTAACTGACACTCATGTATCTTGTGTTAGATCAAGCTCCAGTCCATGAGCTGTCGGAGCACGCCTTCTGGGTAATTCTTCAGATGACAGAACCTCCTTTCATGCTGTCATCTGACACAGTATGCATTCCTGTCCCAGGCAGGGAGACTTCCACTGCATTCTTCCTTCTGGATTCTGCCTCCAGTTTGATCCTCTGAAGAAAACTGGAGGGAATATTTCTAAGTACAATGTTCTTTCCAAAAATTCTGTTATTGTCTCAGAATGGTTTTCCATCTTAGATCTGCATGATATTCAGAATCTGAAAAAGCTGTCAAGAGTTAGAAAGGGTCTTACGGTTCATTGACTCCACTCCACCTCCACCAAACCACCTTTCTGTGAAGTAACTTTCCAGCTTTTGCTTGAATACTTCAGTGACAAGAAACTTACTACCTGACTATCT